TTGTTATTTAAAAGGCATTGGCACAATTAAAGATGAAAATAAAGCATTTATTTGGTTATTAAGAGCAGCAGAATGTGAAGAACCCTATTCACAATTTGTCGTGGGAACTTGCTACAATGACGGTATAGGTACTGCAAAGAATTCAGAAAAAGTGCTTGAATGGTTTGTAAAGGCTGCTGAAGGAGGGAATATTATGGCACTCCAATTTGTCTCTGAACTTCTGTCAGGGCTCTTTGCCTAATTTTCCTTTCAGATGATTCACAAGTCCTACGGTGTGATTTTTTTTTTTTTTTGAGCATTTGATGTAGCAATCTCGACTTTTTGCTAATTCCGATTCATAGTAAAAAAAGTTAGGAGTTTTTTTTAAAAGAAAAATTGGTCAGGTAGACTAAAATAATGTTTATACTACTGTAATAACTTAGACGCAGGGTATAATTTTAAGAGTATAAAAACATACAGTAATTTATATTATTAAATATATATATACACGTTTTTGATATGAATTTTTTAATGTATAAAAAAGATAATACTATAATAAATAAATACTTTATATTTCATCCGTTTCAATGCTATTACAATTTATCCAGGGTTTTATTCACAAGCTACTTAACACAATGTTATTATCCAAATAATAATTATCAACCACTTCACCACATAATTGCTAGTCATATTACTGAATTTTTTAGATGTAACTTATTTTTAACATGTTTTTCAAAAAACAATACTTTTATACATTGCACACATATTATCTGGGAACTGGAAATTTAAAGCCTAATATCTATGACTGGCTAAAATTATCAGTCAATTTTATACTTACATATTTGTTTACTTTTGGTTTTAACCCTTGAGCGAAATTATCTCAATATCACCCTGGTCAGTATGAAGATTAAAAGCATTTTAAATTCTATTAGTTTTTAGAATTTAAAAATACTTCAAATATCAAAACGAACAAACATTATTGAGATACTCTCACTCAAAGTTTGTAAAAATTTAAGAAAAAACTAAAAAATTTTTAGTTAACAAACTTGTGATCTAATGCTAATAGATATTATTCTAAACAACTAATATATGCTGAGGAACTATTGGAATTGTTATTTTTAGGTGACAATTCATAAAAAAACAATGATATTTTTTTAAAGGAAAAATAATTGAAAGCACAATAAATCTACATATTTTCAGATCTTATAATAGACATATTTATTTATATTGCTGATAATCTACATGGTTTAAAATTTACTTAATTGTATCATTATCTTTATATATAAATTTTGCATAGATAATTATATGAAACTATTTTGGTGTTGTAAATAATTTCCTCAATTCTTCAAGATGAAATTCCAATATAAAAATTATTATCTTAAAGTCAAAAATCAACAGCAAATTCATCTGTATGGCAAATTCATTATACTAAAATTAGCAAACTGAAAGGATTTAAATAAGAATATTTTTTATATGCTGTAAAAATCAGATATGGGTGTCCCATGAAGTATACTTTTACAATTTTAAGAACCACATTCTTCATGTATCATTGGGTTGTATATTAGCTGACTAAATCAACTTTATATCAGGTTATACAAGAAAAAATGGCAGCATTTTGTAGGCTGAAGTAGGCTTTAATAATTAAAATCCAATTTAAAATATTATAACTGCTTTTAACTTTTAAAATTATATTAATAATAAATTTATAAAGAAAGCAATCTTTGTTCTTCTATTAGTCTTTGTTATAAATAGATGTTTTGTCCTAATTTTGTAATCTGTCAAAAGAAAAGGCAGTATCAAAAAGATTAGTTAGAGTACAAACTCTTGATATGCCTACAAATGTAAGACCTGTTGCAAATTTCTTATTTTCAAAATTTATTACAGTTTGTGACAATGTTAAGTCTTGTGTCTTATAAATTGTAATTACCCAAGCAAGGCATACTACAATGTTTATATGTTTGACTATAAAGTCATAAAATATAGTACAATCATCCAGTTTATCAAACAACTAAAGTACCCATTGTAACTGGATCCCAATGTAACTTTTAATATATTCTTAAACATCAGTTCATTTGGAATACAATACAATACTAAAAACTCTAACATGAGACCTAAGCATCAATTTTAACTCTAAAGTCTAATTCTAACTTAAAAACTTTAAACCAATATCTTTTAAAAAATTTTGCCTCTGATTAGTATTAAATATCTAATGTTCTGTATTCTAAGAATACTAAAATATTTTTGAGATCACTACATTTAAAAATTATATCTTATTTGAGAACATAAAAATTTGTAAATTAGTAAGTAATAATTCTTTGAGAATATTAAACTTCTTTTTTAAGAAACATGATTATTTTTTTTGAGAACCTAAACAATTAAAATTATATTTCCAATAAACAAAAATTTTTTTTGGATATATTTTACTACCTTTGATAAAAATTATAAAGAAATAACAGTTAATAATTCTTAATAAAGAAATAAAAAATACAAATATAAAATTAAAGAATATAACTTAAAACCTTATTCATCAACTTAAATTATAATATTATAATCATTTTACTTTCAAGTTATAAAAACTACTAATAAAAAACTGTTTAAAAAATTTAGTGCTTAATTATGCCATTTAGATACTAAAAAAGAGATTATTATTATTACATTTAATTAAAGTTGTTAACTAAACTGTTGGAACAAATTAGTTAACTAAAGTACAAACATAGCAATATCAGAGTGGTATTGTAACTGTTGATGGGAGAGCTTAAGAGTATTATATGAACAAAAGGCCAATTTAACTCTAATGATATACGGGGAGATAAGGATAAATTGAAAAGAAGCGAAGAGGATCTTTTATAATGATTGCAGGTCTATTGAGACAATATGACACTATGAAATGAAGGCTTTAATATAAATAGGGGTGATATTGAGGTAATGCAATTACAGGAGATGCTTTTAAGAGTAATAATAAAGTGGTGGTCTTAAGGACTGATGGGATTTACCAGTTTATTCCTCTGCAGCGGGAAATAAAAGTGTTATTCTTCATTTTATATGACATCATGACAGCATTTTTTGACTCAAATACTTTAGCCAGTATGACAAAAAAAACAGTTATTAAAAAACAACTGCAAAAAGAATTTTCACTTTAATAATACAATTATATTAAAGGAATTTAAAAAAACTTTGTCTTTAATTATAATGATACAATTGCGCTGACTTAGAGAATTATAAAAGATCTTTGCTCTAAATAACTATTGTGTCTATAAAGTGACTAAGAGAATTTTAAGACCATTTAAGTAACACTATTACAACGGCTAAAGGATTTTAAAAATTTCGCCAAAAATAAAATCGCAATGCAAACTAAAAGAATTATTTTCAAATATATAAAAATTTAAAGTGCACCCGGGGAAATAACAAGAAATAACGGGGAAATAACAAGCAATTCCGGGGAAATAACAATATTACTTTAGAATTGTTTTTTTTTTACTGATTAAAGTAGTGATTATAAGTCGAAAAACCCCATCATGCGATCATATAGAGACGTGGAATAACTATTCGTAAGTGTTGTTCTCTACCACAATTCCCACAAGTTACTACTGTGAATGGCAATATCTGATTCCACAATCGTTCTTGAATCCGAGTCTTAATAAGCCAAATCGAAGTTACAAGTCAATTCAGTCCGTCGAATTAAGTCTGAAAGGGTTTATTAAAGTTACGAGTCGAATTCAAGACAAGGTCTCAAAGGAAAATTCAGATAAGTATATACTTTAGTATTTAGTGGTAATGGAAAGTGGACAAAGGAACGGTAATTTTGTTTATTGAATTCATGGTTCTTATATACATTTTATTTTTCAAGAACGTAGACACCGAAATTTCAATGTTTACACCTAAAATCCAACGTTTACGTGAAAATTTGGGTGTAGACGCCATAAAATTAACATACACACCGAAAAGTTTTAGGGCGCAGTCTTTGCGTAATCACGTACACGCGAATTTTTCATGTTCACTTAATTCTATGCAACTAAGCTACTCATCATTACCGGTTTAGTATAGGTTATGAAATAATCAAAAAAAATTAATAAATTTACTAGAATGGGACATTGTTACCAAAATGGATAGGTAATTACTAATAAACTATGCACATGCGGTAAAGTTACCGACTAAAATAGGAGTTTAGAACAAAAATAAAGAAACTAAAATTTTAATTTGTTACAGTATCAACTGCTGATAAATTATAAACTTAAATAAAAAAAATAAATAATGCTAGATATCAGAAAACGCCTTGCTTTCATTATTCAAAATATAAGTCAAATTTTAGAAAAAAACAAATATTAGAAATGCATTCACAAATTGAAAAACAAGACAAAAACAAATAAAAATATATGTTCTAAATAACAAGGCAAGCACCCACAATTTTCATAAATATCCTAGAAAAAAAACATCTTTACAACACCTGGCTTGCATAAATTTAATAAACTTACAATTATCTCAGTTTCGATTCAATCTGTATTAACATTGATAAAATTACATACTCTAAATACATGAATTTAATTTGAGATTTATTTAAAAAAGATTCTTTGTATTTATAATTACGTGTTTAAATTTTCAAAACTTGAAATACTTCAAATTCATCAACGAAAATAGAATGAACGTTGTCAACTCTAAACCGCTTTTCATAACATACGGTAGAATGTTTATAACTCCATGTCTTATTATCATATGGCATATGGAAAAAATTACCGAAAATAGGACCACTATCATAACAACATCCAATTACATTATTTTCATGGATAATTCTACTAAGGATAGAATTAGGTAAATTTGGGGTTTTTAATGAAAAAATGAAACTGTCAACCGTTTTTAACCATTTAAGTTGATTATCAGATGACCAGATTAACGGATTATATCCACCAAGAATTTCATTTGTGTCTTTAACCTTTATAACAATCACGGTGCCAGGTGTGTTATCGCATAATCTATGAAATGTTTCACGAGTAAACCCGTCTCTACTTCCTCTAAGAAGTAAATTGAACTTGTAAGGTATTTT